AATTTCATTAAAGGTTGATGTGATCTAATTACCTCCACTCTGAATGATGGATTTTACCACTTACAAAATCAATTTCACTGTATTTAGAGGCAAGATTTTCAGTAAGAATATCACAATAAATAATGATAATCTTCAGTAATTATCAAATAATAAATAAAAAGCTGCCATCTTAACTCTTTCATTGTGGCATACCAGTGATGATATTTTATCACAGCCAACTTATTGTTTAAAAAGAAAATGAAAAATGCCTCGAAAAATAATTTTACATTTTTGTAAAACATGGAATTTTCTACTTAAAAAAAAAAAAAAAAAAAAAAAAAAGATTCAACTGAAAAATTTTTTCAGATTTAAACTTAAATATTGGGGAACGTTTTGTATTAACTAATAAACAAGTATTGTCTTGTATTATTTTGCAATTCTTTCCAATTGTTACTGCTCTTTTTTTATTTGGTAAACATCAACCAACTTTTCAATCTTTAATCAGTTTATTTAATGTCTTCTCTTTTTTCTTTTTATTCACTCAAGTAATCCTCGATTATCTCCCTTCTATTTAAATTTTCACCATATTGAATATTTGACATCTACTCATTCAGAATTGTCTCCTCTTATCCAGTTTCTCTTCCCCTTCAACTATCTATACATTATATTTTATTTCTTATTTCCCTCTCTTTATTTTACCTCTTCCTACTACTTTGATTGGGGGGGCTCGTTTCCATACAACTTTCTATACTTTCTCTTTTAACCACAAGTATTTAGTAAGGTCAACGGAGCCTGGCACAAGGTCACAAATTTGGTGCACCAATCAGTAATAATCAGCCTCATTCTTCCTTTCAGTTTTGTTTATCCTTTCCCTTCTTTATACTTTACTTTCCTCTTTTTTATGATCTCTTATTTCTCTCCCCTCTATTCCCACTCCTTGTTCTGGTTCATGAACAACACTTCTTGCCATTTTTTTTATATTTATATAACAAAGAGTAACCGTCTACTTTGAGTGGCTCTTAGGCCTTGTATGGAGTGAACATTAGTACAAAAAAAAAAAAAAAAAAAAAAACTTGAGATGTCACTTTTTTTTTAAGAAAAATTTTTTCTAAATATTTTTGTAACCTGAAGTGGCAAGCTTTGTTATTTCCCTATTTTATTTATTTATTATTTATTTTTTTTTTAAAGAAAACAACATTTCTTTTCCTTATCTGTTCTTCCCTTTGAGGTTTCTCAATTTACTTTGAGGTATTCTTTCCCTCCTGTCTCTTCAGTGAGCCTTTTATCTTTATTATTCTTTTAAACCCACTTCTTTTCTCTTCTTGCTTTTCCCTTCTTTTGCACCCCCACTTATTTAAACTTCTTATTCCTTTACTCTTCACTTTTTGTCTCCACTTTTTTTTTTTAGCTTATTTCCTTATTCTTTTGTCATCCCCTTCACATTTTGCCTTTTTTTATTCCTCTGCCCCTTGCTCATTTTTAGTATCTTGCACCTTTTAATAGGAGTAGATAGGCTCACATATCATCTGGTTCATACTCCTCCCTATTCATCTGAACAGGATTTATCCTTTGTTGCTTGTTTAGGATTGTGCTTCCGGTTCCTTCTAAAGTCTACTTCAACTCTATACTTCTAACGTCTCTGCCTGAACTCTGAAATTTTATTTGTTAATTAAATCTTGACCTTTTCAAGTCTAAAATTACTAGTCTATCTTCCTGTTATCTTGCCCTTTCTTACGCTAATACAACTCTACACAGTAACACTACCTTGAGTGGCCCTTGGGCCTAGTATTAGGTGAATATTAGTAAAGAAAAAAATAATCCACCTTTAAGTTATTTTCCTATTCATTTGCTCTCTACATTTTTTAAAACTTTTTTGTTCAACATATGCTATAATGTGATAATCTGAAAATTTAACTTGCAAACTATGTAAGAAGTTTGTCCCTCACTATGTGCCAGTGGATTGCAGTTTTGTACTAAGGTTTAAGATGTGAAAATATTTGAGAAGAAGAATGCCAAGATGGAGGAGAAACTAAGGTAGGAAGATTGTGTTGCCCCCAAAGATTCAAGAAGGAAAAAATATAGAATTTTTATATGGGCTCAAAAATGCAACCTCTGGGATTAGTAGAGAAAGCAACTGTCTCAGCCACAAGGCATGTCATAGATTAATTCTGCTATGATTTTTATTTGATTTTTTTTTCAAGGTTGATTTCTTGACTCTAGTGATTTGGTTTCATTCGATGTTTCAGTCATTTCTGTATGAATTCCAAGTACGTTTTATTCTTTTCTCTTTCCGCAACAGCTTCAGAGTTATTTTTATAAGCAGAATTTTTCTGCTTTTGTCTGTCTAAAATATCAAAGTCATATTTATATTTGAAATAAACAGATTTTCAAAAGATCAAATACAACAGACATCAACTTAAATCCATTTTGATCTCACCATATTATGAATAGCTGCACTATGACACTTTATGGAAGAACGGCTAATACAACAAACGTCTACTCTAAACCATCTTGATAACACCAAATCAGATACTGCAATATGCACCAGCTCTCACACTAAGATGGAGGAATCGGTGCATGTGGCATTGAAGTGAGATGTATATGATTCACCAAAACAGAAATATCGATGTTATGATTAGAAAGAAGGAAGACATATAGGCAATTTTTTTAGGTTTATGACTTCCTCATGAAGAATCTGAAGCCAGCCTTAGCTACTTCATAATTCACTGTGAATCGTAATGCAAAAGATTGTGTGTTCTATTTTTTTTTTTTTAACTTCGAAGTATTTTAAAGTTTCTCTTGAACTTGCACAGGAAAAAAAAAAAAAAAATACACCGGACAGAGAATGAGAATATGCAAGCCATAAATAAATGATTCAGTGTAAAAACATCATATCCTGCCTTGGTCCTATACAGTAGGCAACATTGGTTCCCATACTATCACCAAAGTTAAGCAATATCAAGCATGGTTAGTATCTACATGGGTGACTGCTTGGGAATACCAGGTACTAGAACCTTGGATGTGCGCAGTGGTGTAATGGCTCAGGATTGTTAATTGGAGAGCCAAGTTCCAATTCCAGTTGGGATCATTATATTCACTTTTGAGCAAATACCCTTCTCTCAGGTACAGGTTCATTAGTAAGACTTGTATCACTAAATTGTTATTATTATTTAAAAAAATACATTTTAGAATAAAAAAAAAATAAAAAATAAATTCTGGTTTTAAATAACTTGCAAAGGATAAGCCATTGAAAACAAATCAATCAATAATAATAGCTTATTAACCATCACTCTAGATCAGGTATCTTTCTTAAAGGAGCATATGTTTGACAATATATAAAAAGAATTTAAAAAAATATTTTTATTCAAAATGGTTTCTTTTTCTTTTATTGTAGCATACCAGTGATGAGATTTTATCACATTATCGCATGACATGGCTAAGCACAGAGGAAATGTGTTAGCACTTTTTCTAAGGGCACTAGAAAATTAATTTAAGCAGCAAATAAAATTCAAGCAATAGAAAGAAATGCTCATATTACTGATATCTTGTACCATTTCCCTTTTAGAGCGAGATAGACAATCAGTAACCTTGCTTCCATATCTCAGAAAATAACGGATCAGTTCAATAAGGTCAAATTGGAAGCCGATCCCAAAAGTGACCTAAAATCTGCTGTTAATTGGATTTAAATCCCTCCAAAACAAAACTGCTTTCAAATAATCATCTGAAAGATACCTTTCTGCCTTCCATAAGCATGGCTGATGCTAGCCTTCAGTAGAGAGATGGGCTGCAACTCTCAGGCTAATATTTTCTACTGACAGGAAGTGGAAAGATTACATTGAATCAATTGCTAAGTTTATTACTAGGAAAATCAGTTCATTGTGCTGTGCTTGACAATCTTTCTCTCCAGAATCTATCTTACATATTTATACATCTACCATTTGTTTATACTTTGAATATTGCTGCCACAGATGGTCTGGTGTTTTTTGCTATATATTTAGAGATTTTGATAAAATCCAAAGAAGAATCAGTAATATTATTTTATCCAGACTTAGCATCCCAGCTTCAGTAACTTTCCACTGCCATAATGTAGCTTCCTTGTGCTTTTTCTGTAAATACTTTTATGGTAATTGTTCTGATATGCTTTCGTCTATGGTACCCTGACTTTATAAATTTAAACACAGTACTTGATTGGCAACAAGGTCTCTCCATTTTACAGTTAAATTGGTTAGATGTAACTAAGTTCTATGCTAACAGTTTCTTTTCTTGCACTTTTCGTTTATGGAACATTCTTTTGGCCTTTTGCTTTCCAGCTAACTTTGATTTTTAAAAATTTAAATTCACTGTCAGTTATTATCTCCTGTCTTGATTCCTCATTTTTGTTCTTGGTCCTTAATGTTTTCTATCTTTTATTCTCTAACACTCAGCAATCCTTTGCGTCTTTATTGCATTGTTGGGATGAAATGATTAAAAGCTAAAATAACTGATAATATTTGGGTCTATCGACTATTTCATCTCTCATTGTACTAAAGTCTATATTTGAAGATAATTTTAAAACCCATATAGCCAGCTGCCTAAGCACAGCCCATGCTATAGAATAACCTTGTACAAACATTTATAAATTCAATCTCTCATGTCTCTGATAAATGGACTTATTTGTACTTCAAACATTTGTCTTTTCTTATTTGTCCTCTTTTACCATGAAAAAGAAAGAAAAACAAAAGAAAGGAAGAATATACACTCAATTGATTCTCTCCAAGAATTTACATGTTGAACATATTTTAAGTGTTTTCATGTTCAGCAAAATCTGGGCACAATCTCTTGGAGAAGTTCTGATTCCTGCTTATAAACATCTGCAAGTGGCTGGCTCTTGGGAATTTATGCGAAATCAAAGCAAACATCAACAAAAATTAGAAAATATATTTGTATTGCTAAATATCTATTTGATCTCTTTCTCCCCTCTGTCTTATACACACACACACACACACACACACACACACAATAAATCAGCTTACAGACATCACATTGAAACATTGGTTCCCCTAAGATCACTGAAGTTAAATTAAGCAATCTTGAGACTGGTCAGTACTTAGATGGGTAACATCTTGGGAATACCAGGCACTGTAAGCTTGGTGGTATACTGGATAATGGCTCAGAATTGGAAATCAGGGAGCCAAATTCCAAATTCACTTACCCTTGGAAAGTATGAATCCACCTCTTTTCCCCAGCTATGGATTAATTAGTAAGACTTGAATAAGAAAATTCTTATTATTTTCCAAAAATTCTTAAAGTCCAAAAATATTTTCTGGCTTTAAATAACCTTCAAAGGGTACACAGGCCATAAAAAAAGCAAATCAATTAATTTGATTTATGATAACTAGTAATAAAGTTTAAGGTAACAATACAAAAACAGTGACAGGTGTCTACATACTTATAAATATCCATATTTGATCTGACACCCTCCCTTTCATATTTATATACATACACATGTAGCCACAGATTGTGAAACCCATGTGATGACAGAGGGATGCAACTAACCTCACGAAAAAGATATTTGACTTAAACAGTAAACCAATAGAAAAAAAAAATAAATAAAAAAATAAAAAACCATTATTTTTTTTTCATTTGAGCTTTTACCCTTAGAATCTGATGGCTCAAACTTTGTTGGCTTTGAGGATAATGTGATTATTTTTTAAACATTTTCAAAATATGATTATTACAAGGAGTTGCTGAAAAGTTCTCAGCTTAACTCCCCCCATCCTAACCAAAAAAAAAAAACAAAACAAACATCTTGTTATTTCATTAAATTTTGGGAAGTGATTTATGCTTCAAATAATTTTAACTCCCCGTCATATTAAAAACGTATCATATCTTTTATATCTTCATATAGACACACTCTTACAAACTCATAGATTTCATAATTATTGCCTCTCTGATGTGGCTTTTACAATTTCTAACAAAAAACCTTCCATGTTGTCTAAAAATTTAAGATGAAGAATTATTATTTTGTCATATTGTCAGCTCTTTTCATTTCTGTTGTTTTTATCACTGTGTTTTAGCTAATGTGCTCTATGGCTTTCTTCATCTTGAATATTAATACAGACAATGCCATAATTTCAGTCAAGTCTTACTTTATTCACTTCATCTTGGCCTGAAGTGGCTCAGAATGAAAAATCAGAGAGCCAAGTTTGAATTCCATCTGAGTTCATTACATTCACTTACATGCTAATACCCTCGAGAAAAGGCATGAATCCATTTATTCATTCCCCAGCTATGAGTAAATAGAACAGACTGGGTTCTATACCCTTGGGTGGCAACCAGTCTAGGAGAAGGAAAAACTGAATTCAAAACTAACCTGGAGAGAGTTGGGCTCCATTAGGCGCTCTTGCCCAGAAAACACTACTGCTACTACAGTATATATGGTTCCCCTATAACCATAATGTTTTACGGGTCTCATGATTGTGACTTGACTTCAGCAAACTCCAGTATTGGATGGCAGTTTTAAAACTATTTTCATTGCATGAATTTTTTTTTTTCTAAACTCTTTGTATTTGGTGAGGAATTATTCAGTTGTCTTGTTACCATTCTAAGCAGAAGTTGAACAATCATCTTAACTCTGACAGACTGTAGTGAAAACAATGCTATAAATCAGGACCAGTTAGAATCTCTTGTCTGTCAACAATATTATCTATAATTTCAAGTGGCTACACTCCTCTTGTTCTTCCCCTGTATCTTCTCATTCTCTTCCCTATCCTTTCACATCTTTGTTACATGTCTGACTTATCTAAATGTTAGACAAACATGCATTCATTTTATATGCAAAAAAAAAAAAAATAAAAAAAATAAGGAATGCATTGCTATTTTCAACAACGTCCTCTCTTTTGTCTTTCTTTTGCACTGTCTCTCCATAAAGAATTTTAATGCACTGTAATATTTATATCTTTCACAATGCCTACCTGTCTTTCAATCATTGTCTCTTGAGATTCATCCGACAAGCCTGTACATATATATAGGAGTTGTAAACAGGATTCACTTTACAAGTGCGAAGAAGCACAGTAACATTGTTGCTTATTGCTTCAAACATATAATATAGGCACTATTTTTTTTAGAGAAGGTTATAATATACAGGGTGTTCCAAAAGTTGCATTACCATTGATTATCTTGTAAATTCTATATTTATTAACCAAATGGAATCAAGTGTCTGTATGTGACAATATATTATTAACAATTTTTATTGGCCGAATTATGGAAGATGATGTTGTGCAAATTCTCCTTGGTTGCTATTTCATAAGTGTATATTTACTGTCAATTGTTGCTAACTTTTGAAACACCCTGTATTTTTAAGGAAGCATTAAAATGGCAGAATGCAGAAAGTCCTGGCTAAATAGTCAGAAGTACAAAAACTGAAAATACTTTTTGTATGCAAAAAGTACACCAGAAAGAAGGATAGGAGAAAAAAAGATTAGAAAAGAATCAAATAGATCAGCATTAAAGAAAATGCAGGATATTATCATAACATCATATATGGCTTGAACTGGTGTTTCAGGAACTATGGCCATTGTTCTGTAGTGGGTTATACTGATTGTGTCATTGCATTAGTCTTCACACAATTATAACCAATATTCAATTGTCTGTTTCTTACTAAAAGGTAAATCTACTGTCTTTTCACCAGGAGAAAAGTTCTCTTGTTGTAATAAATAGCACAATGCATATGGTCTGTATTGGCTACTTTTATTGTCCCAGTAGGAAAATTTTGTCAATTTAGTCAGTAACGGAGAGGTTGGAAATGATTGAGAACTTTCTCCCCTCCCATTTCAATATATCACTTCTGTTAAGTTAACCATTTAAAAAGGTCAAGGTCTGGTCACTCCTCCTCCCCTAATACTAAGTATGATTGAGAGAGATATTAATTTAAACCCTCCCTAAACACTACCATGTCTCTCTAACCACTCCTTATTACACACTCTGTTAAATTACAAAAACTCCCATCAATTTTCGTTTCATCTTTTGGAAGTGCTATCTGATGATCTGGCGTCCTTTAATAAATTATTATAATGGAACCTTAAAGTGGTCTGTTTTTCTTTAATATACATATGTGTGTGTGTGTGTGTGTGTTTTCTTTAACTTTATCACTCCCAGTCTTTCTTCCACATCCTCTTTTCCTCATTATTCAAAACCACTGTTTGATATTAATATGTAGGTTTCAATGTTAGAAAGCATAAATAATACTATCTCATAAAAGCCGGGGATCAAGCAGATACTACACTCTGATCTTCACTAGATAAAATGTAATGTTCAAAAACAAGCAGAATGATGATAAAGATACAGCGTGTAGTTAACATCACATCTTATTTTTGAGTGCAGTCAGCAAAGTCCTTAAATTTTCGGTTATGGTTTAAATTCAAAAAGTTTTCTTTTAATACCTTATAACTTTTCTGTCATGAGAAAAGAATGTCCAGCAGCTTGTAAGTACAGATTTTGTGTATTAATATAATAGTTTTATTTTCATAATGTGAGAGGGCTTGAAAAATTTGATGCTCATATGATAGATTGAAGTCAAGAGGAAAAGGAAAACAACACATAACCTACCTAGTAAGCTTGAATAAATGAATGACAGAACAAGGTTTAGGAGAGATAAAAAAAAAAAAAAAAAAAAAAAATTTACTAAGAGCTACAAAGAACAGGAAATTGTGGAGAGCCATGATCCTTAATGTCCCGAAGGGACACAGCATATAGAAGAAGACTGCCCTGTGAACCATGTTGTAAGTTGTGCATTTTCTTGGATGCTTGGATTTCTATTCTATGTAATAATGAAAAAAAAAAAAAAGCCAGCATTCTTAATGTACATTAGCATCATTCGATATAGTTTATTAAATTTACTTTTATTTACTAAAATAAATCATAAGTCTTATATAGCAATTTCTAACGGTAATTAATAAAAAACACAAATTGTGTAAGTGTTCAAATAGCCAAAATAACACATTCACTGCTAATAAATTTTATTTACTAAAATAAAGAGTCTTAATATAAATAGTCTTATATCAATCAGTTATGTGCCATGCAAGATACACACTTTGGTGATCATGTATCTTTCAATACATGACTGATGAGGCAAATTTTGTTCCCACAATAGGTTGTCATTTCTTTCTATGATAGACCAGTTGCCATCCAAAGCTATAGAACCTGGTCTGTCTTGCCATTTACCCCTACCTGCGGGGGAGAAGAAGAGGATTCAGACCTTTCCCAAAGGTATTAGCATGTAAGCGAATGTAATGGATTCAACTGGAATTTGAACTCGGCTCTCCAGTTCCTCAATCCACACTGCTATCCATTACTCCACCATACCTCCTCCTAGTCTTATATAGCAATTCCTAATAACAACTAGCAAAAACACAGAAGGCATTATCTAAGTGCCAAGTTAGAAGTGAATTTAATACTGAGAAATTATTTGTTTTTTAAATTGTGGTGGATATGATTAATTTTAGGGTCCCTTTAGACATTAATACATCTGATTTTGTTTTGTTTTTACCCTGTTTATACAATTTCTGTTAAACTTGATTCAAAACCAACAGAGAAGCCAATGCCAATGTGCAAGAACCTCAACAAGATATATGCAGGCCATCTCTTAAAAAGACATTGGCTTGCAAGCAGGTGATAGCAACTCTACATATTCATCCATATTTATTGTAATGTGAGAAGAACTTAGAAATATTTTATGATGACAGCAATGGCCAGAACAAAAAGAATTTTAATGGACACAGAGACAGCAAAAAATTCTGCTTAGATTTTCATTTTTCTTGGTGGCTGATGGGCAGAAAAAGTAGTAAATGACAGCCCACCTCAGAACATTTTATTTTTACTTCCTTGACAAAATCAAGAGATGGTTATGCAATGTGATTGGTCCTGATCTGGCATCTCATCTACAGTCACTCTCTCACAGACATGCCATTGCCTCCCTCTGTCTTTTCTACAAATACTTTCACAGTAACTGCCCCAACAAGCTACATTCACTAGTTCCCAGACTGCATGAATTTAAGCATGCTACTAGGCTGGCATCTCAGTCCCACTCTTTCACTGTCAAAGCGGTTAAATGTGGCTGTCTCTTCTACTCCAGTAGCTTCAGGTCTC